TTTTGTTTTTTTTGTTTGCTTGTTTTGTTTTGTTTTTGTTTTGCCATAGTAAGGATTGAACCCAGGCCTCCTTTCTGAAGCTACATTCCCAGCTCTGTTTTTTTTTTGTTTGTTTGTTTGTTTTGTTTTTGTTCTTTTTGAGACAGTGGTTTGCTAAAGGGCCAAGATGCCTGTGCTAGGCTTAGCCTGACAATTCTTCTGCCTAAGTTTCCCAGAGTGCTGAGATTACAGGATGCCTAGGCCTAAGACATCTTCTGATGCCCTGAAAAAGGTAAGACAGGAGCCCAGACATCTTCACTCTGGCTGTCATCAGCCATCACCCCAGATGGATCATCCAAAATGACACTAGGGGAATATTTTCGTCAGCTTCCTGTTACTATAACCAATAGTTGAGATAATCAGATTATAAGCAGAAACAGTTTATTTGCTCACAGTTTCAGAGTTTCCAGCCCATGGTCCAGCAGACCCATTGCTTTTGGTTCTGTGGTAGGGGTGCTGGATGGCAGCGGTGGAGAGCACACAGCAGAGCAAAGCCACTCACCCCATGGTTGGGAAATGAAAGAGAGTGGATGGGGCTGAGGTTCCACTGTCTTGTGCAAGGGTGCGCCTCCAAAGACCCAAACACCTCTCTTGGCCCCACCTTTTAAATTTCCATTACCTCCAACAGTGCCAAGCAGGGAGCCAAGCCTTCGCCATACGTATCTTTGCAAGACATTTAAGATCCAAACTGCAGCAGTGCGTATCAACCAAAAGCCCTCATCTCAGGGAAACATGAATTAAAAATAAGCCACAGATGGTAGACTTCTTGAGTTCAGAAACTGCATCTTACCCAAGGAAGTATCTTTATTGCATGTCAAATTCTCTTTTCACAGCAGTTAATAAATGCTAACTGCTGAACCAATGCATGAATAAATTTTTCCAGGCGTCAAACATCAGAAAGCTATCAAGGAATTCCAAGAAGGCAAAAAGAAACCAGTTGGTGTGCTAGTGTTGCCAGTAAGAAGATAATTTTAAAGGATCATGAGTAATTAGGATTTGGTCCCAAAGATTTGGAGCAAATGTGGGCAGAAGCGTGTTGTGAATTTGTCTGAAATGCCCAGTGCCCATATTGCCAGATATGCATGATAAATAAGACTGAGCCAGTCTCTGCCTAGGCTGATGAGACCCAGGACACAAGATAGATTGTACCGAGGCTTATATGCAGCTCGTAGAATGTGACCTCCAACACTTTCTTTCATAACTGTACTCCTGTGGGATGAAGGGAATTCTTCAGGAGCTAAAACTACAAAATGAACTCTGCCTTTCTGTGGGAGAGGAAGTGTGCATGTGTCCCATAAGACCATGCATATATCCATGGATACCTGCACAGGCCCCTAGGCACCTGTGAGGCACAAATGGATCAACTATTATCACCATCATGATCAGAATTACCACTGTTAATAGTCCAGTGCCATTCTCTGTGATGTATCTAATAATTTGTTTAGATAATGACTATACCTAACAATAATGAGACAGATGGAAAAAAAAATAGGTGGGTAAAGGGAAAGCAAAGGAAGGACCCGCCTAAATTTATAGATTGTTAAGCAGATGGTCTACTTAATACTTGGGGTATTACTTAATATACTTGGGTTATACTTAATATACAATAAATATGCATGGATCTTTCTTCTTGCAACTTTCTTTCAAAACCAAATGAGTATAGTTGGAACAACTGCCATATCTAGAGAAATTTAACAGACCACTGAAATAAAAACAAATTTTTCAATGTTTAAAAGTATACTTGACCCATTACTAGAGCACCCTGAACCTTCTTTCATTTGAAAGTCAACATTGTTTTGTCCATTTTTCCTTGCATGTTCCTAGAGGATGGCAAACAGCCTCCACCTTTGCATGAAGGGACCAGGGAACAGCTTTTATAAGGGACAGGGCGTGAGGCAAAGGGAGAGGATGCAGAAAGAGCTCCAAGAGCACTGTGTCTCAGCGGGACATCCGAGGTTCTCCACCATCCACTGGACAAATTCATTAAAGATGAGACTACAGTGCGCTTGCTGCCTCTTCCTCCTGTCAGCCCAGCATGCAGTCACCTAGACGACACAAACAAGCTGAGAGCGTACATTAAGTACTTCTTTTTTTTTTTTTTGTCTTTTTCCTTTTTATCAGTACCGGGGATTGAACTCACGACTGCCTGCTTACAAGGCAGGTGCTTATGCCGCTGAGCTAAACCCCCAGCCCCCTCATTAAGTACTTCTTATAAGAGCAGCACAGTTGAGCAAGTGCTGTCAAAGGAGGCAGGGGTGCAAGCATTAAGGGTGCCTTGGACTGCATGTGCACAGGCCTATCGAGCCTAGTGCCGGCTATCCAGTGATTACAGTGAGGAAATCAGTGTTTAAAAGCGGCTGGAGGGACCTATCTTTAGGTCCAACACCAAAAGTGAACTCTAACTTAGTTGTTTGGGTGATCATGATAATGTGATTGTCACAGCCCTGCCCCCGTGGTGCAGGACCTCAGTGATGAATGAGGCAGTGTAGGAGGCGAGAGGAAACGTGGTCCATCTCTGCACCTTGTGCTTGGTTTGACTGTCAACCTAAAACTGCTCTAAAAAATAAAGTCAATCAATACTTCCAAAGTGAGGGGTAGAGAGAAAGGACTGGGTTATAGTACCTACAGTAGATGCTGTGATCCTACTTATCAATCCACTTCATCTAGGAACTGAAAGGATGTAACATCAAACAGCCAGTTTATTAAACTCTGGGTCAAATATTCCAACCCTCACTCCAAAGAAAAGGCTCCATCATTTTCCCTGTTTATAAGTTTCTAAGTTTCAGAATCTTACATTTTTAAACATCAAACACCGTGAGAGAATAGTTGACTTTTTCATTTTTATCATTGTTGTTAGGTCTGGATTAATATCTTCTTGCTGCTATAGCAAATTACCATGACCTGAGTGGCTAAAATGCCAATTTATTATTTTAACATTTCATAAGTCAAAAGTCTGATGTTGGTCTCTGCCAACTAGTAAAGGGCTGACAGTTTTGTTCCATATCGAAGGACCTAGAAGAGAACCCATTCCTACCCATTCAAGTGACTAGAAAAACTCCTCGCAGGACCAAGATCATCCCCGTTTTCTTCCTGGCTATAAACTTAGAGCCATTCTCAGCATCTCTGCTGACATATTCCCTGACCTACAGCCCTTCTTTCCATCTCCAGAGTTATAAACCACAGCTGGAGCCATCACATCGTATTACATATCCACTTTTCCTATACATCTTCTTTGATTTGTGAAACCTGTGTGATCACAGAGAGTCATCCAGATAATCAAGATATTCTTCCTCTCTCTAGGTTAGGACCCTTAGTTACAACTACATAGTTTCTTGCCATGTATCCTAGACATAGGAGAGACCATTATCCTGCCTACCACATTGTCATTAATGCATTAATAATTAGTTCTATATCCATAATGTTTCCGAAATTACCACCACTAAAGTCATCTGGCACACCTACATGCTTAATCTAGCTTCATTTCGTGTGACCATTCTATGGTGTTCAACACTGAGATGACCTTATTTTTGAAGCACGTGGCTTCTATTTGTAGTAATACTGTCCACTGATTGCCTCGTATCCATGGACCATTCCGTGAACCCTGAATTAATTTCCCCAGCTTTCTTCTCCTTTCTCTGCATGGTATGGCTTCATCTGTACATCTCAGCTGTATGTCCAGCTCTCTTGGGCCATGATTCTGAGTTGTAACAGCCTTCTGACCTCCACATCGATGACCTACAGGCTCCTTTCTGCTCCAGACCTCCTCACAGCAGCCCCAAGCCTTGTCTTCCTGTGCCTCGACCCTAGGAATCATTCTCTCCTCCTCCCTCTGCCTCTGCCTCACATCCCAACCCAGGCTGTCACAACCTGTCTGTCTTACCCTTGAGTGTATCTTGAATCCACTTCTCTCCTCTCTGTTTGTGTTGCCACTGGTAATGTCCAAGGCTAATCCCTAGGCTAAGGCAGCATCAGCCTGCCCTTGTGTCCTGTCCACTCATTCCAAGACATTCTTCACATTGTCATCAGACACAGATGTGATCTTGTCATCACTCTGTTTAAAAACACTGGTTATTGCCCTTGCTTAATTGCATCAAATCCAATACTCTACACAGCCACACACACACACTTCCCGCCAGCCCTCTAAGCAGTGCCTAAACTCATCAGCTCCTCTTCTCCCACCTGCTATTCACATACACAAAGTGGTCTGCAGACCAGCACACCAGCGTCTCCTGGGAACACGTTAGAAATACAAAATCTCAGGTCCTACCCAGATCTTCTTTATCAGACTCTGCATTTTAATGAGCTTCCTATTCAAATTCAATGCACATTAAAGTTTGAGACACATTGCGCCAGAGCCCTGCTCTCTGGAGTGAGACCCGGAAGGCAACATTTTGAGCACAGAAACAGCTTATTAGAAATTTTATTTTTGTATACTCTTTTTTATTTTAGTTTGGATTTTTGCACATATTTGATGATCAGTGTCCTGAATCTTTCTTGTCCCTAAGATTTTTCTACATTATTTCTTTTACCTGGAATGGTTCCGTCTCTCCACTGGCCGAGACTATTTTGCGCGTCCTCCAACATCATCTCCACAAAAGCCCACCCCATCCTTTCAAACACACTGTCATCCTTGCCTCCACAGTCTTGTGCATCCGGAATTGCTTTTTTTCTTCTGCTTATCAACTGCCTTATGAGACTATGGGTCCCTCAAGAATGAGAACTGCACCATCCCTTAGAGTGCATCCCCAGAGACATTTTCCTAGCTAATCACATGCATAACTTCAAACAAATCCTGCTATAGCTTTCATATTCTTCTAGCTTTGAAGTCCCTGTTTGAAACAGAAGAGATTGCTTCCTGATTTTTCACATGACCCCATGGCTCGGACTTGGGATGGTTTCTAGTTGGTGACACACCAGCTGGACAGACAGCTGACAGCAGACAGCACTCGATCCTCACTCACCTGAAACCAGTCAGAACATTTCAGATCATACCCTCTCTTTTCCACTCCATGACTCTTTGATGCAAATTGTTTCTACAAGGAAAAGAGAGAAAAGGACGAGCATCTTTTGCAGCATATTTGAAGGCTACAATCGCGCCAGCATGATGATGAACAGTTTTCCATCCAAAGAACATCATCCTGTTTTTCTGTCTAGACCAGAGTAACACCGACTGATGCTAATCTTAGTTTGTAAACTACAACTAGTACAGTCTAATGTCTAGGAATAAAATGGCAACCAGTGAATTTTCCACGTAGGCTTATTTCTCTAAATCTTTTATAAAGAAATTAGCTTAATCCAAAGAGACATGTCATTGAACTAAATCCATCTTTATATGCAAACTTGAGATGATAGAATCATTCCAACCCACATCACAAGACCAATAGGAAGTACTGATGAAAGAATGCAGGTCAAAAATTATACAACTTAAGATATTATAAAAATGTATAGCTGTTGATATTACACAGTGGCACGGCACCTACATGGCAAGCTTAAGGTCCTGAGTTTGATTCTGGGTACAAAAAAAAGTGTAGTATTCTTATTAATAGTTTTTAATGACTTCTTAGATTTCGTTTGTTCACCCGAACATTTGCAAAACTTCTACTGTATGGTACAAGCTTCTTTTTCCTATCCTGCTATTTTCATCATGTTCCTTGAATCAAAGGGATACATGCATCCCTTTAAATTAAATAATAATTCAGTACTGTGCACAGGGTAACTGCTTACAGAATTATTTCCATGTACTTTATTTAGACATTTTAGCCAGGATTTGAATTACTCATAGACTTCTCCCTCCCTGACATATAATGTATCTGGCAGTATATAGAATTAGGCTTAAAGTCAAAAAGTTGACATCGTTCCCTTCTGTTCTTTGTCTTCTCTGATCTATCATAAGTGTCAAGCAGAATTGGTGTGCTCTGGGTCAGGTGGAAAGATGGGAGGCAGAGAGCAGGAAAAGGAGCAAAAACATGAAAGTTTGCAGCACTGTTCCTCAATTGGTTCTCACTGACACCTGCTGTGTGGTTATCTGCCTTTTAACTATTTAGACAGTAGAGAGGATGACAGATCCATCCAACACTGGATACCACAAACTTTATTCACAACATGCTACCACCCTATGTCAGGTTCTATTATCTAAAATTGTTAGTATAAATAATTAGACTGGGGATGTAGCTCAGCTTGGAGAGCATGTGCTTGGCATGAGCAAAGTTCTGGGTTCAATTCCCAGTGACTAAATAAATAGAATAATTATTTTATATTTATCTAAATAATTTCAACTCTCAAAGTCATTCTTATCTACCAAATTAGGCAAATGGTAACTTCTTTGCATATGTGAGCATTAATGGAGAGGCAATACATGCACTTTGAGCAATAAAACCTGAAAAGTAATAAAATAATTAAAATAAGAAATTCACATGAGACAGGAAAATGGTACCTACACAATGAGACACTATGACACCAAAAAAAGGTTTTAATTTAGGATCAAAGCATCGAGAAAGCTTTCTTAGAGTATCTAACCTTTGAGCAAGGCCCTAAAGAAGCTGAGAAATGGGTGAACAGAAATGAGGAGGGAAGGAGTAACCACAAGAAGTGCCAGTGACATCAAGACAGGACCTGGTGAGGCAAAGAGCAAGAATTACAGTGTCCTGGGCAGCGGGTGTGCACACACAGTATAGAGGGTTTGTTAGGAATGGAAGATGAATAAATATCACTGTGTTTATTTCTTAATTATTTGGGTTTACTGAGACCTAATTTACTTACAGTGACATTTTTCCTAATATATTTATTTTAATAACTATCATAGGGGCCCAATGTCCAGCAGAAAGCCTTGCAGATAGCAGCTACATACAGGGTTGAATGGTCTCCCTCAATGTAGTATTATTTGATGTTATAAACTGACTCTTTTTCCATAAAACTTTTTTGTAAGCATGCAATTGACATGCTAGGTATCTTGATAGTGGTCTAAAAGGGACCTTCAAAAGGTCCCTTGCTTGCACCAATTTTCTACCTCTTAATTTAGGAATCTCTCTCTCTCTCTGTCTCTCTCTCTCTCTTGCTCTCTCTCTCTCTCTCTTTCTCTCTCTCTCTCTCCAGAAAATCTCAGAACATTTGGTTTGAAGTAACCCTAAGGAATCCAAAACAAAATGTGGGAACATTTTATTTCTCTCACTTTGTTGTGAATAGAAATTCTCTAGCTGATACTCTATTAAAGAAAGGATTAGATATCATGGGACAAATGTATATTATACCAAGGAGAAAAAAATGTCACATTTCATAGCTCAAAATTCATGTTCACATCCATTTTCTGCACTTATTCAAGCGGTGTTTTATGCCTAACTTTATAGAGAAGTAAAAAATAACTGTGAGAGCTGAAGCAGTTTATTCAAGGTCACAGGTACAGATGTATCAGCAGCAGATATAGAATCAGAACTTAAATTCTGGTGCTGTGTTCTTTACACAGAGCTATTGCAACAATCACAAGATGCTTTTTAATAATTAAGTTAAAAGTTGAAATCATCTTTCCTACACTATCCTTAACAGCTGTATCTATCAGGGCTCATTTGCAGGAAGTATACATCATGTTGGCTAACTTTAATAGCAATTTTAACACACTTAATGAATTTTCTAGAGCGGCTAGAAGATAAGCTGAGGCTGAGGTCTCCAGGCATGACTTCCAGTCCAGTCTCCTGAATTGGCCGTTGAAGAAGCTACTTCTACACTCCAGGTAGAAAATGAGACTGCTCCAAGAGGCACAGAGCACCAGGACACAGCTCCAGACCTGGGAAATCTGGGAAGCAAAAGCATCCTGGCACAGTTTCTTCTGTACCCCTCTGAAGCCAGGCGCTCAATAGATTCTTGCTACAGAAAACGACAGTAGCTTGCTTGCAAGTACTAGAACTCTATTCTCTGTCACATTTCCTCTTCCAATCTTGCATCTACTTGGAGAAACTCCTTTGTCCCCACAACTCTAACTGCAAAGGATTCTGGGAGACACACAGTTGGAACAAATGCCAAGGCCAACATGGAGTGGGGCACTGATAGTCTTAATACCTGTCCAGAGAAGTAGGGCAGATATTTTCATCAAGATTTCTTAATGAGAGACTGGCATTAAAACAACAGAGAATGAAAATGTCACACAATAGGATCTAAGAAAGTCAAAATCAATTATGCTACACTGGGATGCTTTGAACTGACTTTGTATTATAAAGTCAGTTTTGTGAAAATAAAAATATGCTGTCTCTCTAGCCATATGTTACATGTGTGCAGGCACACACACACACACACACACACACACATACACACACACACACACACACACTGCCAGGTTCCATTTCATATTGCTTTAATAGTTTCTCATATATTTGCCTTACTAACTTTGTTTCTACAGAAAATCCAGGACATTGTCTTGGATTCTGGCTTTCCCACCTCAATAAAAAAAAAAAGAATTTGGAAAGTGGAATACACCCAGAAGGGAGCAATTAAAGCAGGACAGGTCTGGACCTCGTGGCATGGGTGTAACGGGTTACAGCATCAGATGATTAACACTGGAAGAGAAGCTTGTAGGAGACACAATGGTGGTGTTCATATGTCCAAAGGGCCACCATTCTGGAAGAGAAGATTCATTTGCTCTCTGTGGCTCCAAAGGGAGGGAACAGAAGGTAGAGCCGAGCTCACTGTGTCCATTTAGTCTATCAGCAAACAGCAGCAAGCTCTTAGGCAAGTTCTCCTGCAGTATGAGATGCCAACCTCTAGCCATGTTTGCCACTTGGTCATGTTCATTTGTGGCAGATACTGGTTTGACTTCCCCCTGAACTTGAAGCCACATGAGGACATGGATCACTGATTTTTTTTCCATGTCCCCCACTCATTCCACATGGCTTCCAATCGATACTCACAGGCAATCTTGAAAATATGTAGAGATGAACTAAACCAGAAGATGTGGACACACTGGCAGAACAGGATTGCCTTCCTGGGCGCTCCAAAGAGTTGGTTCAAAGCATAAGGGAAACTAGCGTGTAAGCTGATTTTTACAAACATCATGTGCAGTGTGTAAACAGGAAAATGAGCGCTGTCCATGAGGGAGCGCCAAGCCTGGTGCAAGCGTGTGTTCCAGGTGGGCACTGACAGGCTGAGAGGGCTCAGGCAGGTGTGGGCACAGACGCTACAGTGCTTTCTTAGCACCCACAAAGAGCAGCAGGAGAGCTGTTTATTTTGGCCAGGGGCTAGTGGGAGAATGGTTCCTCTTTACAGAGGGGCTTTTGTTTTCAGGTCTTCAAACATTCTCTGCACACAGTCTCCCTCACCCTACCTCTTCCCCCGGGAGAAGCAGGCAGGTGGCTGCCACTGAAGGCACACCAGCCTGTTCTGATAAGTGTGTGCCAAATGACTCCTTGCTGGCCAGTGGCCACATTAACAGGCAGGAAAGGACTGTCGTTCAACCTCAGTGACATCATGAGATTAGATGAAACTGTATCAGCCTCTTTTCTTTGTTACTTGTGATTCACTGGATAATATTGAAATACATATATTATTTATCACAATTAGTAACCTGTGACTCAGGGCTGGACTGAATCAGTGAAGCCACACAGATCCAGGGAACAATCACGCATGTGTTTTTGATCCAGTACAAACTGTGGAAATGCACCCACCCCAGCCCCTCCTCCAGTCATTCCTCCCACGAGGCTCTGCAGAAGGCCCAAGACTGTCATTTCAGTCTGACTGCTACTGAAGTGTGTGGTGCGTTTTCTGCTGGTCAGCACTCACCTGTCACCTTATTAATAACACCCTAAAACGAAGCTGCCTGTCCCTGCCCTGGAACCACATCTGCCACCCTAGCTCACCCTCCCCTTTTTTAGAACCTCTCTTAGCTTTCTATGATTACGAGAAATGATGCTAACATCCTATACCTGCCTGCCACACTATCATGTAATGTGCAGCCCCTTCCTGTAGCGGCTCTGATGTAGTAGCCCTGGGCTACACATTCATGGGCTGAGAGCAGAAAGTTGAATTGTAGGAAAAGTATTCATACCTTTGATTTCCTGCTTTTAATGAACCTAATAAAAGAAAAGTGCTTTCTAAAAGCTATCATTGGGGCTGCAGATTTAGCTCAGCAACACAAATGCCTGCCTGATAAGCACAAGGTCCTGAGTTCAAGTCCCAACACCCAAAAAAAGTAAATAAATAAATAAATACTATAATTGGCCCCAGACAGTAATTTATAGCAAAGGAAATGGAAGCTGCATGTTGATGAAGGACCTATCACTTCAGCACATCTCCAAGTAGAGGTGTCAAGAACTACCCATGGTACACAGCTGTGCTACAGTAGCCATGCTTCTTGAGACCAAGACAAGACCATTTTCAGGACAGGAAGTAAAGAAGGGTGTGTGCAAAGTCAGTGGGTGTTAGATGGGCCACGAGGCACTGAGGAGCTCCAGCATCTCTTACAGCAGCTGACTGCTCTGTCCAAGCACTGACCTGCACATCTCGGGATTTAAAGAAGAGAGGGCCTTGGTCACATTGGAAAGTAGGCAGAGGATGGAGACGCACTTTGCAATCCCATTCACACTTACAGGCAGCAAACACTGCCATCTGTAGCATCCACTGCTTATGGAGGCAACAAAGACAGGGAAATACATGCCCTGCATCATCACACTGGGTAAAGTGATGCGGGAGCCACAGCTATAGGGGGTGAGCCCTGCCCCACCAACAGGAAAACTAAGCCAGCCACTTTCCCCTCCATCCCTGTCCTTCAACCAGGCTCTGGCTAAGACCTCCAGACACTTATACCTGGATTACAGAGCTTGTAGTGCTCCTCCTTCTTATCCTGGTCACTCTTGGAGATGTCATAAATATGCACATTAGCGAGCCCTGCACATAGCAGGCATACAGAGAGTAACAGATCCCTTCTCTCTAGAAAGACTTTATGATACAACTATTAAGGATATTGCCTTCGACTGCATTTCCACTGTGCTGTTTATTAACTGGGTAGCTTGTGCCACTCAAGCTTGGCTTCTTTGTTTACCTGCTTCACAGAGTTATCCTGATAAATGTGCTTAAAGTATGTAAGATAAAAGCCAGGCCGTTGTGCGTGCCCAGCTGAAGACTGTAATATGTCTTGACTGCACATAGATTAACCACCCCAGGCTGAGCTCATGCAGCATCACTGCCCACTTTACTTCTACATGTTAGAGTTGGTTTGCTTTTGACTGTTTGTCCACATACGTACTGGGATTTCATGTAGCTATTTCTTGCTCTCTTCTGGATTCCCAGCACTTGGAGATTGGCATCTATCTGGTGCTGAAGACACAAATGTCCTTTAGCCTGCTTGCCACCCAGAATGCTAAACATCGTCAAAGCCCAGCAGTGATAGGAGGATGCATTCATCTTTTTTATCTTCCTCCCAGGTCTCTCTTTCTCTTAAGACCATGCAATCATTGACTTGGTACAGTATTTCTTGACATACGGAATCTATATAGTCCAAGCCAGAGCCATGGGATAATGCATGGGATCCACACAGCTCCAGGTGACGCTGAAGCCCCCTGAGGAGTGAGCTCTGTGGGCCCAGGGAAACAGCTTCTGAGTTGTCTTCAGTGCAGCAAGCAGGGCTCAGGACACAGGCAGCTCTGACACACAAGGGAGAAGTTTCCCTTCCAATTTCCACAAAAAAAGAAATCAGCAATTCTCATACCTGCAAGATAAAAGGGCACCACCACTGAGTCTCAGCTAATACCATCTGCATGGAAAGACAGTCACACAGGGGCCACATCTTCCAACACAAGACAATGCAGCACTTCCTTTGTCATGCTCTATTCTATTAAACCAGAGAACCTTGGGAACCAGGAACACCCAGCCTTCACTCTGTCCCTACTATGTAGCAGGTGCTGCCCTTAAGCAGTGATAAAAACACATCTGCAGAGAATGATTTAGCATCACATGAATTTGGTCAAACCCAACTCTATGGAGAATTCATCTATTTGGTTTTTTCCCCTAAACAGCATAAGAAGTTAAAATAAAAACTCACCAGTTAATAGCAGCATTATAGGCTCTGTTTCCATTGAAGAGAGGGGGATTTATGCATGTCAGCTAGGAGCACATTTGTGTAAAATGTGTTACTAAAGCTTCATACTCCATCCAGAAAAGTCACCACGCAACACTGAGCAGAGACGCACAGAGAATGCACAATGAATTTCATAGGCTCTCAAGTTCTTAGCTGACATTTTTCTAAAATGTCTTAGCCTACAGCATTGACTTGAGTGAGCCCTTGGCTCTCTGCAACAGGTGACAGGACTGAACGAATGTTCTTGTAAGGTGCAGATTCTGGGAAAGTCAGCCCATACCCACACTGCTCTTAAAAATATCCAGTGAAACATCTGGACAACAGGCCCCTCACATCTGGGCGTGTGCCCGGGGTACCACGTGGACCCGGGAACAAAAAGCCCACACAAATCCTTTCAACTGAACTCTTACTCAGGGTACAAATAGCTCTTTGCTCTGCGTTCCAAACAGTTCAGCCAAGGGCAGAGGGACCAGTACCCAGCAGTTCTGTACAAATACTGGGAGCTCAAGATCTGCTCTGAGCAGCTTTTTTAGAGCTGCCTGTATCCCCAGGAACCATCTGCTTGATGGAAAGGATTGTTGTGGCCAGAAGGTTCAGGCTGTGCCTCTTCTGCTGGTTCAAGAGGTGGCACAAAGCCAGTGGCTGAATGGAAGACTCTTACCTGATTCTATATTGCTGGCTTGGGACAAGCTTGGAAGTGGCCATCGATGAAGGTTGTTTCATCAGTGCTCCACTCCTAAAGAGTCAGTGCTCATGTTAGGAAAGAGCCCAGGCTCTCCACTTTGTATCAATAAATTTTTTAACCCTTCATTGTCACCTTCAACAAAGTGCTAGAAAAAAGAAAATGAAATCTTTCACCCCTCCACCAACCAAATCTGAGAAAATGATTTGAAGGGAGAGATTAAAAGGGCAGGGTGAGCTGTGGATTTCATGATCCTGCTTCTTCTCCCAGAGTTTTGCATGGATAACAAACAGTGAAAAGTAAATTACATTTTGCTCCTTCCAAAAAAGTGGTTCTTTTAGGCAGCTTCCAAGATGTCACGTCTCTGGCTCAAGTGCCTCCCTTCAATGTTGGTGGAATCCCTGTTTATGACCTGTATCACAATGATTATCTGCTTGTCTGGCTCCCACCAAAGATGGGGGGCCATGAGAGAAAAGATACATAAAATCTGTTACTTGCACCATGTATGGTATTCTTGTCAGATAAGTGATTAAATGAAGATGTTGCCTAATATATAAGCAAATATAGAGCTGAGTACTTGTACGTTGTATCCTATTCAGGTCTTTCCCAGTTACAAATGTCTATGAATGATAAATGGAGAACTGAAAGATGTTGTCGGTAATTGGCCGATGCATAAGACAAGCCAGGGAGGAGTAAAGAAGGGAGATAAGACAGGTGTGAAGTGCAAAGTCGTGCCACATCTTCACCTTCAGGGCGTGGTCAGGAGCACGTGCCATTTCACTGTAGCGCACGTGGCTTTTTTGCTTTTTCAAAGTGCTTTCATCTGTTTTACCTTGTTCAGCTTCACAATAGCCCTTTGAAGGACAACAAGCCAGTCCCGTTATCCCAATGGATAGGTAGAATGATAGAGACAGGGAAACCTGGTCCTGGACCCCGAGATATCTCATGATGATGGGAAATCTAGTGTGAAAAAGGCCTGGGGCGATTCTTTTTCACCAACACTGAGGTCAAGACTGCCAGAGGATGATTCCAGAAAAGGGAAGAAGGGAATAGGAAGAGAAGTAGGGAGGGAGGGAAGGGATTACTAAGGGAAGAAATGGGCGCTGGAGGGATATTGGAAGACCTCTTAGAAGGCTATAACCTGTTTCTTCTCAGAAACAGCCTCAGGAGACACATTTATGCCTACAAATCCTCATTTTGCCCCTAAATCAGTCCTCTAGGACCCTGCTATCTCCCACATCTCTGCCATCTACTCCTCTGTGATTCTGTCATGTGACTTGACCCCATATTCTTTCTGCATACTATTGCATCCATGCCCTCCAGACCTGTGCAATGTAAGTGGAAGACCCTCTCCAATCCCTGGTCCATCTAAACCCCGTAGGTTTTCTGCATATTCTGGTTATTCTTTCAAATCATCCTCTTGCCATTAACTCTAACCTTTGTTCTCTTTATATTCCTATTTCATTCTCTCTGAAATCACCCCCATTATTCTGCTTTTCTGGCCTTCTCGATCACACTTTTTAAAAAAATATTTGGATGCAGAGATCTGAACCTAGAGCCTTGCACTAGACAATCACTGTACCACTGAGCTCAGCCTTGCCCCCTCTGTTCTGAGGGGGCCCATTGCAAAGTGAGGAAGAAGGTAGGAGTCACTGCCAAGTCATCCTCTCTCTCCAGGCTGCCCAGGGATCCCCTCTGTCTGTCACACTCTCCTTTCATTTTGCACAACTCTGAGCAGAAGTTTCACCTCTGTCTTTTTTAAAATTTTTATCAGTACCAGGGATCGAACTCATGACCACACACTTGCAAGGCAGGTGCTTATGCTGGTGAGCTAAATCCCCAGCCCCTTTCATCTCTGTCTTTGAGCCGCCATTTGTTGGCTTCTTCACATTCTTTCCCCCTCCACAAAGAGGAATGAAGCCATCAGTGAAGACCATCCTGTTCCAGTGGGCAACTTCCTTGGTCTCTCACCACCTTAGCAAATAGCACACGGCCTCCTTCTTTGATCCTTTCCTCGATTAGATCAGGGGAAACCCCCCTCTTCTGGCTCTGCTCCCACCTCATGGCTACCTCTTTTCAGCCTCCTCTGCTCCCTCCTCTTCCATGCCTCAGAATACAGGACTGGCATTCTTTAGCACTCCTGTCTCCCCTCTCCTGATGACTCCTTCTAGATCTGTGAATTTGAATATCTTTCACGAGTACCAAACTTCCTTGTTTTGTCTCCTGAGCTAAAATTTCCTATACCCACTTGCCTGCCTACAGGTCCCTTTGGATATTCCATATTCATGTCAAGTTTCACATGCTCTGATTTGTCCCCTAAAGTCTGCTCTTTTTTAATGTTCTCAAAATGATTAACCATGTGCATAAATGATGAAGACAGAAAACTGAGTGTCAACCCTTATCCCTCCTTCTCTTTTCTTTGGCTCCCAAATTTGATCAGTTGCCAACATGTTGAGTCTATCAATTTCATATTGACTCAATCCATTTTTCTCCACTTCTACCACCAAATCTGCCACCCAGACTACCACCGTCCCTCATTAAGACCATGAAATAAAATTCCTCATTGATCTGCACATTCCTCCTCTATTCTCCTCTCTCTCTCTCTCTCATCTCTGCATAGCAGCCAGCATGAGTTTTTAAAGCAAATAAGTAAACAAGTTGTTGCTCATGTAGTACCTTTCAGAAGTTTGCATCTTACTCCTATAAAAAGCCAGAGTGGTTCCAAGTTGTACTGAATTTCAGAAGTATAGGAAAGAGCCCAATACAGTCTTTCAGGCTCCCAAGCTGAAGGACACACTGCAGCCTTTACCATGTGGTTTCCAAAGGCTCCTAGAAGGTTGCCATCCCCATCCACAGAGGCAAGAGCAGCAGGAGGGACACGCATGGGAACTTTTATGAGTGACACACACCATTTTCATTCATGTTCCAATGGCTGGCGCTGAATTGCATCGTGGTGCCTCCAATCAAAGAGGACTAGGAATGCACATGCTGAAGAGGGGAAAGTGGATAGTGAACAGCTGGCCAGCCTCTGAAATGCCGTCCACTCCTTCTTTCCTTCTGTTCAACAGAAGAGATCCCCCTCTTCCTCTCCAGAACCAAACCTTCCACCTCTGCTTGGATCTCATTTCTTCTCATCTGCTCCAAGTTCTTTCTTTATTAAATTTCCCCTTTCACTGCTGTATTTTCAATTTCTTCCTCACTAATTGAATTCTTTCCTCAAGTTACATATTTCACTTGCTAAAGATACTCATAAATTTCAGGTTTTCATATCCAGGGTCCTTATTTTTCTTGAACTCTATGAGGGTTGACATATGGACCTCTCCCTTCTGTCCTGATCCCTCTGCCTCATCTTTAATGAAAACATTCTCTACTGACGTTACACCAACCTGCCTTCCCTACGAATCTCTATGAGTAATTTTTCCAACCGATTTTGTGTCTCTTCTGTTTCTTTTGTACCTTGTGTATTGTCCACCAGTTCTGCTTCTTGCCTTTGTCATATGGACTTTGTCTAGTACCAGACCATCAACTATTATGTATATTCACTGATATTCAAATCCATGTTTCTAAAGAGAACTCCTTTTTGCACTCCAGTTATCATTTCTAATCTATTCCATAACAGTTTCACTAAGTGATTTTTAAGTATTTATGTATCACCTTGATCTACAGAGCACTGAGACTGGTTACAGAGTACACGCTTACTAAAGAACTGGAATATCAATAAGAAATATAGGTAGGAAAAGATATAAAAGCAGAAATTCCAACCTTTATGACCCTGTACACATGACTTACCTCTAAGCTTTAAATCAGTCAGTTGAAAGAAGAAATGTGAGAGTTTGTAAAGTCACCAAATCTACAAGATAAAAGCAAACCAAATATCCAAGAGAAGTACATCGTATCTTCTTTTTAGGTCTTAAAAGAAATATCTCATAGGAACCTCTTTTATAATATTTTGGAGGAAGTCCTCAATTCCACCTAGAATCAATACAGGTTGTAATGGTGACTTACAATCTTCCATAAAGCTGAGACATTACACTAGATAGAATCCAAAACTACACAACCCAAAAATACAACTATTTGATGCTCTGCAGTGATGCAAATGAAGACTTGAATGTCTTTATAAAGAAATATATTTGCAAAAAGAAGTAAGCCCTCCCTGTGATTTGGTGCCATGTGGGGGGCACTGGAGGGAGAGCCAGGCACCAGCCTTTCCCCTTGAGTCAACACCATTTGTGGACTGCAGGGGAAGAGAACAAGAAGTCAATAAGAAGCAAGTCCTCCCTGCAAGTCAGCACCATGCACAGGCCACTGAGGGAGGGGACCAGAGACCAGCCTTTTCCTGTGAGTCGGCGCCATTCATGGACTTCAGGGGAAGAGAATAACAAGTCAACAAGAACAGCCCTCCTTGTGAGTCAGCACCATATGTCAGTTGACTGGGGAACAACCAGATACCAGCCCCTTCCAGTGTGTGGGCTAGGAGACAAGAGCAGCCAGCACCCCACCCCACTCCACCCAGCCTTAAGCAACTGGCTAATCTGGAAAAATGCAGGCTGTGATATTAGGTATTGAGGTAAAATACAATTTAATGCTTGTAAAGTGTAGTGTT